GCCAAGCTTCCTGCCATCCAGGACCTCTATACCAGGCGGTGTCAGAGGAAGGCCCTCAAAATTGTCCGACTCCAGCCACCCTAGTCATAGACTGTTTTCTCTGCTACCGCACGGCAAGCGGTACAAGAGCGCCAAGTCTATGTCCAAATTGCTTCTCAACAGCTTCTACCCCCAAGTCATAAGACTCCTGCACAGCTAATCATTGCTACCCAGACTATTTGCACTGCCCCCCCACCCCATCTTTTTACGCTGTTTATTATTTATGCATAGTCACTTTAACTCTACCCACATGTACATATTACCTGAACTACAGATACCCCCCCAAGTAGTACTTTAAAGTATTTTTACTTAAGTACTTTACACCGCTGATGATTACTTAGCTGTTAGATTCGAGAAAATGTCTTAAGAAGTTGAAAATTGTATTACTACAACCACCTGAAAGTGACAAACTGACACGTTTTCATTTTCGTCAAAAACAATTTTATATCTAAGGAGTGCCTTTGAGTTGACGGTCTGCCCGAGGCTTGCACCGAGGGTCAGCATAAAGATGAGTCTGTGACAGTAGGAGTGAGGTTTTTGGAAAAAGTGGACCCTTGCCTTTTGGCTGATCTATTTGTGGTTTCAGGGTGGGTGAAAACAGTTGGGTGCTGTGGAATCGGTGAGGGTAACCAGAAGTGGTCTTGTGATAATTGTTGGTGTTTCTGCTAGTCAGAGGGAGCAGGTGCTCCGTGTTAAACTCATTTTTTTGGTATTTTATTACGATCCCCATTAGCTGTTGGAATAGCAGCAGCTACTCTTCCTGGGGTCCACACAAAACATGAAACATGACATAATACAGAACATTAATAGACAAGAACAGCTCAAGGACAGAACTACAGTGGCTTGCGAAAGTATTCACCCCCCTTGGCATTTTTCCTATTTTGTTACCTTAAAACCTGGAATTAAAATAGATTTTTGGGGGGTTTGTATCATTTGATTTACACAACATACCTACCACTTTGAAGATGCAAAATATGTTTTATTGTGAAACAAACAAGAAATAAGACAAAAAAAACTGAACTTGAGCATGCATAACTATTCACCCCCCCAAAAGTCAATACTTTGTAGAGCCACCTTTTGCAGCAATTACAGCTGCAATTCTCTTGGGGTATGTCTCTATAAACTTGGCACATCTAGCCACTGGGACTTCAAGTTGGATGGGTTCTGCTGGTGTACAGCAATCTTTAAGTCATACCACAGATTCTCAATTGGATTGAGGTCTGGGCTTTGACTAGACCATTCCAAGACATTTAAATGTTTCCCCTTAAACCACTCGAGTGTTGCTTTAGCAGTATGCTTAGGGTCATTGTCCTGCTGGAAGGTGAACCTCCATCCCAGTCTCAAATCTCTGGAAGACTGAAACAGGTTTCCCTCAAGAATTTCCCTGTATTTAGCGCCATCCATCATTCCTTCAATTCTGACCAGCCGATGAAAAACACCCCCACAGCATGATGCTGCCACCACCATGCTTCACTGTGGGGATGGTGTTCTCGGGGTGATGGGTTTGCGCCAGACATAGCGTTTTCCTTGATGGCCAAAAAGCTCAATTTTAGTCTCATCTGACCAGAGTACCTTCTTCCATATGTTTTGGGAGTCTCCCACATGCCTTTTATTTTTTTCTTAAAGCAATGGCTTTTTTCTGGCCACTCTTCCGTAAAGCCCAGTTATGTGGAGGGTACGGCTTAAAGTGGTCCTATGGACAGATACTCCAATCTCCGCTGTGGAGCTTTGCAGATTCTTCAGGGTTATCTTTGGTCTCTTTGTTGCCTCTCTGATTAATGCCCTCCTTGGCTGGTCCATGAGTTTTGGTGGGCGGCCCTCTCTTTGCAGGTTTGTTGTGGTGCCATATTCTTTCAATTTTTTAATAATGGATTTAAGGGTGCTCCGTGGGATGTTCAAAGTTTCGTATATTTTTTTATAACCCAACCCTGATCTGTACTTAATATAATATAATAATATGCCATTTAGCAGATGCTTTTATCCAAAGCGACTTAGTCATGTGTGCATACATTTTTACGTATGGGTGTTACAAGTGCCATGCTCTACCAATTGAGCTACAGAGGACCACAACCTCTCCACAACTTTGTCCCTGACATGTTTGAGAGCTCCTTGGTCTTCATTGTGCCACTTGCTTGGTGGTGCCCCTTGCTTAGTGGTGTTGCAGACTCTGGGGCCTTTCAGAACAGGTGTATATATAATGAGATCATGTGACAGATCATGTGACACTTAGATTGCACACAGGTGGACTTTATTTAACTAATTATGTGACTTCTGAAGGTAATTGGTTGCACCAGATCTTATTTAGGGGCTTCATAGCAAAGGGGGTGAATACATATGCACGCACCACTTTTCCGTTATTTATTTTTTACAATTTTTTGAAACAAGTTATTTTTTTCATTTCACTTCACCAATTTGGCCTATTTTGTGTATGTCCATTACATGAAATCCAAATAAAAATCAATTTAAATTACAGTTTTAATGCAACAAAATAGGAAAAACGCCAAGTGGGATGATTACTTTTGCAAGGCACTGTAGCCACTATATTTTGATCACTGCATCCAATGGCAAGAGATGTGAATTGTTTTGCTCTCAAGAAAAGGGCGCCATTGAAAGGAGTGATTTACTAGGATAGCGGTAAATGTGAAAGCTGACCAACTGAAGGGGAAGATTCCCGGTGTTTGTGATGCTCGTCGTTTGGTGCGACGCAGACAGAGTGGCGTGAGTGGAGAAACAGAAGAGTCATTGTCTGTTCTTTTGAGTTTTGATGTTGAGTCTTTGCCCGACAAAGTGATGTTAGGATATATAAGTTATCCTGTACGAGCTTTTGTGCCGAATACATTACGTTGTTACAGGTGTCAAGCTTATGGGCATGTGGCAACAGTGTGTAGGAGGGAGGTTCCTAGGTGTGAGAAGTGTGAAGAAGGGCATGAGACAAAGTAATGTGTAGTATTGTGTAAAGTAGTGGTATGTGTTAATTGTAGGGGTGCCCATGGGGCTGGGGATCAGAAATGTCCCATGCGAGAGAGGCAGGTTGAGGTTTCCAGGGTTAGAGTAGTGCAGAAGTTGTCATATGCTGAGGCAGTGAAGAAAGTAGAGGGGGAGGGATCCTGAGAGGAGTGGAGTGAGAAGTAGATCTGTACCAGTAGAGAGGGATAAACCAACAAGTAATATATGTTTCAGTAAGATTGGATTTCTGGCATTTATAGCAATGGTTATCAACTGTACTGCAGGGATGGAACGTAAGTCGCAGAAAATTGAGGTATTTGGGTGTGCGAGACTTGACATCAGAAGAGTTACAGGGTGTGTTAAGTGGTGGTGTCCCATCCTTTCAGGCTGTTGGCTTGAAGTAGGAATAAATAGATTTAAATAGTGGAGTATGGTAGTTATTATTATTATATTTATTTTTTTGTGAGTGTAGTGTTAGATGGTAAGGTATTTGTTGTATTTTTTAATGTTTAAAGCAAAGTATTAGGGAGTTGTACTCCAGTCTAGTAGGTGACGGTAATGCATCATTTATTGGATGCCAACCGCCGTTAAACCTCATCGAAGAAGAAGAGTTGATGAGCTGCACATGCGCACTTTGGCACGAGACGCTCCTTAGACCCGATTACATGTTTCTGCGCATGAGTTTAGCTAGCCAACGTCGCCATGACATCGCCTACCTGTGTGATCGGGGATTTCTGTTGGATAATCAGTTTCTGCCTTTCTTCACACTGTACTGTCTTTGGTTATTCTGCTCCCACCCAAAACGGAAGTGATTGTAGTCCAACCAGACTTTTGTCTCGCGAGAACATTCTACAGCTGTCAGTGTTCATTCAAGAGGTGAACATCGAGGAGCAGGGTCAAAGATGCATAGAGCTATCAACAAAACACATTTCAAACAGTTGGTAAGTAACGTTACACGATAGACGCATATGATTATATCAGACTAACTAGCTAAGTAACTTGCTTTTCATTCGCAATGTGGCAAATGCAAATAAGGACAATTAGTACAATCTCTGATCGACAGTTAGCAACATGTTAGCAAGGTAGCTAGCCAGCCAGCTAGCGGAGCTAACTTATCTAGCTAGCTGTGCCCCGTCCACGAAACAAGAGAAAGGTTAACAGTACATTGATTTCCTTTGCTTTATTCATAAATGCGAAAAAAGTAAATTGCCATAGTTTGAAAATCGGATCATATTTGATGGCATAGCTAGCTTCACAGACCCGGCTTAGCTAGCTATAAATGTAGCTAACGTTAGCTAGCCGTTACTCTAGCTAGCTAGCTAGCTAGCTTATGCAACCTCGTAAACAATGAGTTACGAAACTTTAAAAAATGACTCTTTTCAATGATGCAATGATTTTACAAGCACCATTTAAAATGAAGACCATCATTTAATGTATAGCTCCCAATTTGCTCCTGTATTGTGCTGTGGCGTTGGTTAGATAGACTGCTGTGAATTACCTCTACTCTAGTAACTCAAATTGTCTTTCAGACACAGGTTCAGATAGATCTGGTCCTGTCCTGTTTTAGTTTGGTGACAGGTTTGATACTCCCTGTCAAAATGTTGTATAAGCCAGTGCATAGCTTGGATGTTATGTCAGCTTGTTTACAGCAGGGTCTGGCCCCAGATCCTTCCTCTGGTGTTATGTAGCTCACACTTCTCTGCTATAGCTGACGTTCAAAAATTACCCCATTAGATGTTGTTTTCCCCCAAAAGGTACACTTGAACAGAATCAGTAGTATCCTGTATGATTCAATGTCTTGTGCTTTATTGGACTACACAAAAGGCTGCTGAATTGTCCATATCGTAATGGTATTCTTTTAGTGATCCAATTTACATTTTAGTAGACACTCTTATCCAGAGCGACTTCCAATTAGTGAGTGCATACATTTTTCATACTGGCCCCCTGTGGGTAGCTTTCAAGTTTGATAGGTATGAGAGCAGTTATGTTTAGGCTTATGTTATGCCATTTACTGAAAAATACATTTCCCCCGTAGTCTGGTCACTTCCAGAGGTTTCAAAGCACCTTGGTGGTGGCAGAGCACAACAATGACAAGCTGACCCCCATTACGCTGAGTGCTATTACTGCAGCCAAGAAACTAGGAGGAGACGTGTCCTGTTTGGTTGCTGGAACATCCTGTACAAAAGTAAGCTAAATCTTGGGTTTGATCAGATGGTGCCTTCAGAAAGTATTCACACCCCTTGACTTTTTCCACATTTTGTTGTTACAGCCTGAATTAGAAATGGGTTACATTTAGATTTTGTGTCACTAGCCTACACACAATACCACATTGTCAAAGTGGAATTATGTTTGACATTTTCAAAAACAAATTCATAAAAAATGAAAAGCTGAAATGTCTTGAATCAATAAGTATTCAACCCATTTGTTATGACAAGCCTAAGTATGTTCAGGAGTAAAACTGTGCGTAACAAGTCACAATAAGTTACATGGAAACTGTGTGCAATAATAGTATTTAACATGATTTTTGAGTGACTACGTCATCTCTGTACCCCACACATACAACTATCTATAAGGTCCCTCAGTCGAGCAGTGAATACACCCAGTCACTACAAAGATACAGGCATCCTTTCTAACTCAGGTGCCGAATAGGAAGGAAACCGCTCAGGGATTTCACCATGAGGCCAATGGTGACTTTAAAACAGTTATAGAGTTTAATGGCAGTGATAGGAGAAAACTGAGGATGGATCAACTACATTGTTGTTACTCCACTATACTAACTTAATTGACAGTGTGAAAAGAAGGAAGACTGTACAGAATACAAATATTCCAAAACATACTAAAGTAAAACTGCAAAAAAAAGTAGAAAATATATTAACTTTATGTCCGGAATACAAAGTGTTATGTTCCGGCAAACACAACACATCACTGAGTACCACACTTCATATTTTCAAACATGGTGGTGGCTGCATCTTGTTATGGGTATGCTTGTCAGCGACAAGGACTAGGGAGTTTTTTTAGGATAAGAAGAAACTGAATAGAGCTAAGTCAGCTTTCCAACAGACACTGGGAGACAAATTTACCTTTCCGCAGGAAAATAACCTAAAATACAAGGCCAAATATACACTGGAGTTGCTTACCAAAACGACATTGAATGTTCCTGAGTGGCCTAGTTACAGTTTTGACTTAAATTTGCTTGAAAATCTATGGCAAGACTTGAAAATGGCTGTCTAGCAATGATCAACAACCAACTTGACAGAGCTTGAAGTAGTCTAAAAAGAATAATAATATAATAATATGCCATTTAGCAGACACTTTTATCCAAAGCGACTTACAGTCATGTGTGCATACATTTTTACGTATGGGGTGGTCCCGGGGATCGAACCCACTACCCTGGTGTTACAAGCGCCATGCTCTACCAATTGAGCTACAGAGGACCAATAATGTGCAAATATTGTACAATCCAGGTGTGCAAAATCTTAGACTTACCCTTGAAAGATTCACAGCTATAATCGCTGCCAAAGGTGATTCTAACCGGTATTGCCTCAGGGGTGTGAATACCTGCACTACATAACCAAAAGTATGTGGACATCTGCTCGTCGAACATCTAATTTCAAAATCATGGGCATTAATATGGAGTTGGTCCCCCCTTTGCTGCTATAACGGCTCCACTCTTCTGGGAAGGCTTTCCACTAGATGTTGGAACATTGCTTCCATTCAGTCACGAGCATTAGTGAAGTCGGGCACAGATGTTGGGCAAATAGGTGTTCCAATTCATCCCAAAGGTGTTCGATGGGGTTGAGGGCAGGGCTCTGTGCAGGCCAGTCAAGTTCTTCCACACCGATCTCGATTAACCATTTCTGTATGGACCTCGCTTTGTGCACAGGGGCATTGTCATGCTGAAACAGGAAAGAGCCTTCCCCAAACTGTTGCCACAAAGTTGGAAGGACAGAATCGTCTAGAATGTCATTGTATGCTGTAGCATTAAGATTTCCCTTCGTTAAGGGGCCTATCCCGAACCATGAAAAACAGTCCCAGACCATTATTCCTCCTCCACCAAACTTTACAGTTGGCACTATGCATTCAGGAAAGTAGCGTTCTCCTGGCATCCGCCAAACCCAAATTCGTGCTTCGGACTGCCAGATGGTGAAGCGTGATTTATCACTCCAGAGAACGGTTTTCCACTGCTCCAGAGTCCAATGGCGGCGAGCTTTACACCACTCCAGCCGACGCTTGGCATTGCGCATGGTGAACTTAGGCTTGTGTGCGGCTGCTCGGCTGTGGAAACCTATTTCATGAAGCTCCCGACAAACAGTTATTGTGCTGACGTTGGTTCCAGATGCAGTTTGAAACTCTGTAGTGAGTGTTGCAACCGCGGACAGACGATTGTTATGTGCTTCAGCACTCGCCGGTCCCATTCTGTGAGCTTGTGTGGCCAACCACTTTGCAACTGAGCCGTTGTTGCTCCTAGACGTTTCCACTTCACAAAAACAGCACTTACAGTTGACCAGGGCAGCTATAGCAGGGCAGAAATGTGACGAACTGACTTGTTGGAAAGGTGGCATCATATGACGGTGTTACATTGAGTCACTGAGCTCTTCAGTAAGGCCATTCTACTGCCAATGTTTGTCTATGGAGATTGCAAATGGGTTGGCTGAAATAGCCAAATCAACTAATTTGAAGGGGTGTCCACATACATTTGTGTATATATATTGTATGTAAATGTTATTCTATATTTCATTTTCAATAAATGTGCACATTTTATAATTATGGGGTATTGTGTGTAGATGAGTGAGATTTAAAAAAAATCAATTTTTAATTCAGCCTGTTGGCCTAACACAACAAAATGTGGAATAAGTCAAGGGGTATGAATACTTTCTGAAGGCACTGTAAATAACCTGTTGAAATGGATGATAGGGTAAATCCATTTGAATTTAATCACTTTTTGACAGCACCCCTTTTTGACTTCCATACATTTTTGCCCATTGTAGAAGTGCTTAGAAAGGGACTTTTTGTACCTGAATGCCAAAACATTCAAGAGATAAAGGTGCTCAAAGTTGACCTATTATGCAAAATAGGTAAACTTTGAGCACCTGTTATCTCTTGAATGTTTTGGCATTCGGGTACAAAAAATAACTTTCTGAACACTTCTACAATGTGCAAATATGTATGGAAAAGATAAACAGTTGATATTGATATCTTTTAAAAGCTTAGAAAAGGGTTGTAAAAAAAACAAACGTCAATTATCTAAAAACACGTAAACTCAGATTTCTGTCATTCACATACAGTATGTTGTAACGTATACCCTGTTTTATATTTGAGTTTGTGTTGTGCCGCCATCCGTTGAGACACAACATGCTCTTTGATACAGGGTGGGTGTCATGTTTTGCTGATACATTTACTAAAATGGGAATAAAATTGAAATTTCAACTTTCAAATTGTACTACAAAGATCGTTGGAGGTCCACACATCAGACAATTTTGACTTAAATGGGAATACAGTGGGGAAAAAAAGTATTTAGTCAGCCACCAATTGTGCAAGTTCTCCCACTTAAAAAGATGAGAGGCCTGTAATTTTCATCATAGGTACACGTCAACTATGACAGACAAAATGAGGAAAAAAAATACAGAAAATCACATTGTAGGATTTTTAATGATTTTATTTGCAAATTATGGTGGAAAATAAGTATTTGGTCAATAACAAAAGTTTCTCAATACTTTGTTATATACCCTTTGTTGGCAATGACACAGGTCAAACGTTTTCTGTAAGTCTTCACAAGGTTTTCACACACTGTTGCTGGTATTTTGGCCCATTCCTCCATGCAGATCTCCTCTAGAGCAGTGAGGTTTTGGGGCTGTCGCTGGGCAACACGGACTTTCAACTCCCTCCAAAGATTTTCTATGGGGTTGAGATCTGGAGACTGGCTAGGCCACTCCAGGACCTTGAAATGCTTCTTACGAAGCCACTCCTTCGTTGCCCGGGCGGTGTGTTTGGGATCATTGTCATGCTGAAAGACCCAGCCACGTTTCATCTTCAATGCCCTTGCTGATGGAAGGAGGTTTTCACTCAAAATCTCACGATACATGGCCCCATTGATTCTTTCCTTTACACGGATCAGTCGTCCTGGTCCCTTTGCAGAAAAACAGCCCCAAAGCATGATGTTTCCACCCCCATGCTTCACAGTAGGTATGGTGTTCTTTGGATGCAACTCAGCATTCTTTGTCCTCCAAACACGACGAGTTGAGTTTTTACTAAAAAGTTCTATTTTGGTTTCATTTGACCATATGACATTCTCCCAATCCTCTTCTGGATCATCCAAATGCACTCTAGCAAACTTCAGACGGGCCTGGACATGTACTGGCTTAAGCAGGGGGACACGTCTGGCACAGCAGGATTTGAGTCCCTGGCGGCGTAGTGTGTTACTGATGGTAGGCTTTGTTACTTTGGTCCCAGCTCTCTGCAGGTCATTCACTAGGTCCCCCCGTGTGGTTCTGGGATTTTTGCTCACCGTTCTTGTGATCATTTTGACCCCACGGGGTGAGATCTTGCGTGGAGCCCCAGATCGAGGGAGATTATCAGTGGTCTTGTATGTCTTCCATTTCCTAATAATTGCTCCCACAGTTGATTTCTTCAAACCAAGCTGCTTACCTATTGCAGATTCAGTCTTCCCAGCCTGGTGCAGGTCTACAATTTTGTTTCTGGTGTCCTTTGACAGCTCTTTGGTCTTGGCCATAGTGGAGTTTGGAGTGTGACTGTTTGAGGTTGTGGACAGGTGTCTTTTATATTGATAACAAGTTCAAACAGGTGCCATTAATACAGGTAACGAGTGGAGGACAGAGGAGCCTCTTAAAGAAGAAGTTACAGGTCTGTGAGAGCCAGAAATCTTGCTTGTTTGTAGGTGACCAAATACTTATTTTCCACCATAATTTCCAAATAAATTCATTAAAAATCCTACAATGTGATTTTCTGGATTTTCTTTCCTCAATTTGTCTATCATAGTTGACGTGTACCTATGATGAAAATTACAGGCCTCTCTCATCTTTTTAAGTGGGAGAACTTGCACAATTGGTGGCTGACTAAATACTTTTTTCCCCCACTGTATCTGTTTTATAATATACTGTCAATCCTCCATAATATAGATAATAGAATAGACATTACCATTTAAGTTGACATTCGACGGTGGTTGGACCGGCGGCCATCTTTGTGGGAGTAATTCAAAGTTAACATTTTAATTAAAATGTCAATGATGTACCAGCTAAATTGCATTGGTCTGAAGGGATGTCCGTTCTATGAATTATATTTATATGATTGAAAGGACACCCACCCTGTATTCAAGAACATGTTGTCTCAACCGATGGTGGGCACAACAAAAAAACTTCAGATGCAAAGTAGGGTCTAAACTACAACATATGCGAATATGAAAAAAATTGGAGTTAATGCATTTTTAGAAAATTGACGTTAGATGTTCAGTGCATTCGGCAAGTATTTAGACCCCTTGACTTTTTCCACATTTTGATACGTTACAGCCTCATTCTAAAATGGATTAAATCGTTTTTTCCCCTCAGTCTACACACAATATAATGACAAAGCAAAAACAGGTTTTTAGAAATTTTAGCAAATGTATAAAAAACAGAAATATCACATTGACATACAGTACCAGTCAAAGGTTTGGACACACCTACTCATTCCAGGGTTTTTCTTATTTTTTAAAAACTATTTCCTACATTGTAGAATAATAGTGAAGACATCAAAACTAGGAAATAACACATATGGAATCATGTAGTAACCAAAAAAGTGTTAAACAAATCCAAATATATTTTATATTTGAGATTCTTCAAATAGCCACCCTTTGCCTTGATGACAGCTTTGCACATTCTTGGCATTCTCATGTGCCTTTTACTGAGGAGTGGCTTCCATCTGATTGGTGGAGTGCTGCAGAGATGGTTGTCCTTCTGGAAGGTTCTCCCATCTCCACAGAGGAACTCTGGAGCTCTGTCAGAGTGTCCATTGGGTTCTTGGTCACCTCCCTGACCAAGGCCCTTCTCTGGGCGGCCAGCTCTAGGAAGAGTCTTGGAGGTTCCAAACTTATTCTATTTAAGAATGGTGGAGGCCACTGTGTTCTTGGTGACCTTCAATGCTGCAGAAATGTTTTGGTACCCTTCCCCAGATCTGTGCCTCGACACAATCCTGTCTCGGAGCTCTACGGACAATTCCTTCGACGTCATGGCTTGGTTTTTGCTCTGACATGCACTGTCAACTGTGGGACCTTAAATAGACAGGTGTGTGCCTTTCCAAATCATGTCCAATCAATTTAATTTAACACAGGTGGACTCCAATCAAGTTGTAGAAACCTCTCAAGGATGAACAATGGAAACAGGATGCACCTGAGCTCAATTTCGAGTCTCATAGCAAAGGGTCTGAATACTTATGTAAATAAGGTATTTCTGTTTTTATTTTAATAAAATTAGCAACATTTTCAAAACATGTTTTTGCTTTGTAATTATGGGGTATAGTGTGTAGATTAATGAAAAATGATAATTTAATCAATTTTAGAATAAGGCTGTAACGTAACAAAATGTGGAAAAATTGAAGGGGTCTGAATACTTTCCAAATGCACTGTATAATTTCTTGAAAGTGTTTTTCAAGAAATGTTTAAACAATTTGACAACCCTGTTTTTGTAAGCTTTTCAATTATATCAAACTCAACTGTTTCTCGTTTCCAGTGACTTCTTCCATGGGCAAACATGTGTGGAAAGTTTTTTGTTTAAATCTGTCAAAAAGTGAATTGAATTCAAATGGTTTTACCTGATATCCAGACCTACACTACCTGTCAAAAGTTTTAGAACACCTACTCATTCAATGGTTTTTCTTTATTTGTACTATTTTCTACATTGTAGAATAAAAGTGAAGACATCAAAACTATGAAATAACACACATGGAATCATGTAGTAAATAGTAAAAATAAAGAAAAACCTGTTCTAAATCTTTTGACCGGTAGTGTAGACTCTTAGTGTTTTTCTTCAAGGGATTGATTTGCTGTATATTTATCATCTCTTCAGGTTGCACAGGAAATCAGCAAAGTCCTAGGTGTGAAGACAGTTCTAATTGCTCAAAATGATGCTTACAAAGGCTCTCTGCCAGGTATGTATATCCACAGTGTGAAGCAGATGCAGCCAACAGATTCACTGAAGCTGTAAATGAGTTGGACATTTTAGTTCTTCAGCATCTTACTTAAAAATGTAAACTTAGTATGTTAAAATCTGAGTGTTATTATTATTTTTTTACCCATTTACATGTGGTGTTAACAGCAACTTGCATGTCTTTCCACAGAGGAGTTAACTCCACTTATCCTGGCAACCCAGAAGCAGTTCAACTTCACCCATATCTGTGCTGGAGCGTCTGCATTTGGGAAAGTAAGATTATAAGACCCTTTATATACATACCTTTAGTGAGGTCATTTGTCACTTCTTAGCAAAGCTATCTGCCTGCAGATGATTTGATGTATTTCATAGGATGTATTTGGTTTCATAAGCCTAGTGTAAAAAACACAGCTCTTATCAGTATGCTGTATTTTTCATTCATGCCATGGTTTCTGGAAGATATTTGTAGGGCATCTTTGGCTGATCATTACAGATTGCCTTATATCCCTGCGTATTTACCATCCTGTCTTTTGTAGAACCTGCTCCCCAGAGTGGCTGCCAAGTTGGATGTTGCTCCTATTTCAGACATTATTGAGATCAAATCCCCTGACACCTTTGTCAGAACCATCTATGCTGGTAACTAGCTTTTTGTGAACGTGTTATGAGAAGATACATTTGAACTAAAGCATGTAGCCCCCAAACCAACCTATACTACTAAGATATTCTTCAGAATTCTTGACCACATTATGTCACCAATGCAGTTTAGACTGCTTTAGACATTCTTTGGGACTCGATATGGATTTTGTTTGATATTGTCATTGGAAATCAATTCAATTTGTAATTGCATTTGGGACTGCTCTTACGAATTTGACAAGTAACTCACCAATTCTCCATGTACCATAGGGAACCGGTTTGCTTTTAAATCTAAAGCCAATTCAGTCTTTTGGCAATACCAGCAATGATTAGATCCTAAAAGCCTAATTTCTCAATTGCACTTATGGGCTTTGAATGAATCAAAATGACATTATCCACTTAATTTATGGGCTTTGAATGAATCAAAATGACATTATCCACTTAAACCTTTGCTGTTTAATAGTCATGTCCAAATTGGTCTTATTGAAAACTCATGGTGAACCTTGAGCCCAGAAGATGTTTCCCGAATTAATTATCTACTTTTATTTCCCATTTGTCATCAGAAGAGTTGCATGAGGTTTAGAGTTAGAAAACAAAACATCACTGTTTGTCTCATTCACAGGAAATGCTCTCAGCACTGTCAAGTGTAATGAAAATGTCAAGGTTTTCACCGTCAGAGGGACATCTTTTGAGCCCACTGAGGTGGAGGGAGGCAGTGCTACATCAGAGGAAGGTAGCTACAGTACTAACCATGCACTGATACACACATGAAAAGCACACATACAAAAGCCATTGTTCTTGTTTATCATTCTAAAATAATTTATTTAATTTCCTGGCTGGATAACTTATTTTGTCAGGGTATAGTTAAAAGTAAGAAAACTTGAAACAGTTTGAACTTGAGATGCAGTTTTATTTAATATGATCCTCTGACGATCCTCATGAGTTGTTTATTTCAGTTGCTGCGTCCACTTCCGCTGGGATGTCTGAGTGGCTGGAAGCATCCTTGACCAAGAGTGACCGTCCAGAGCTGACCAGTGCTAAGGTTGTGGTGTCTGGAGGTAAGTGCCACCTTCAGCTCATCATACTATTTGCCTTGAACATGACAAATAAATTGATGTGTATGTAAACATTATTTTAGGAAGGGGCCTGAAGAATGGAGAAAACTTCAAGCTGCTCTATGACCTTGCTGACAAAATGAATGCTGCAGGTAAGTGGGTGATTAGAATGAGGCTTTGAATGACAACAAATGTTAAGTTCTATATTTGAATAACTGATAAAATATTGGTGAAAACATTTGACATTTTTGGTCCATAAGCAGTAAAGTAGGTTTGAATTGATTTTCCCCACAGTTGGTGCTTCCAGAGCTGCTGTGGATGCTGGATATGTCCCCAATGACATGCAGGTTGGACAGACAGGCAAGATCGTGGCCCCCGTAAGTGACAAACTCTTTGATAGGCAATGTTGTGCTCACTATGGTGTCATCTGTAATAATATTGCACAATTATTCAAGATACCGGTAAACCTTTTGTGGAAACAAGGGAGTATACTTACAAAAAAAAAGTTTTGTGAGGAGTTACCCACCCACTATCAATTATTGTGTAAGTTACCCGCAGCTTGACAAAGACCTGTTACTTTAGATGCAAACACAATTCCTGGAATTCGGTGTTCTAAAGATGGATCCCTTTGCTCTTTAAAAAGGTTAAATTCCCATTATCCGGTTCAACTGGGATATCCTAGCTGTGATTATCCACACATTAGACCCCATGAAATGTAGTTAATGGCACATATAGGCTCCTAAATGATTTAGCTGATCCATTAGAGAGCAGAGCAGAGCACAGTGCAGTGTAGTGGGTGACTGCTCAGAGCCCCAGACCAGGCCATTCTGCCCAAATTGTATTTTGCTAATGTTTTGACAAGCTTGGTATGTAGGCTTAATGTATTAAATAAAATTTGAATTGCAGTATTATTTTTTTCCTGTTCATATTTGTCAGTCAGTTGTTTTATAGTCTTCATGCACGCCACTCAAAGGATTCACATAAATATTAGAAGTACATTTTTTATCGATTCCTTCAGGCATTGTTAGGACAGAACCATGCATGTCATATCAGTGTTACTCTCTGTCACCTTTTTTTTTCTTTTACAAATGTCCCCTTGAATTATTCCGAATGAGTGTCATAGCACAAAGCTGTGTTCATTCTTGTTATGTGAGGTAACAAGCAATTTATATTTACATATACAACAGTTTTATTAATTATTTGATTGGACCACTTTTGACAATAGGAATATTTTGTGAAATAATTAGTTGCAGGCTTAAAATAGTGATTATATCCAGTATTGAACTGCTCCAGTTATATACTGAACAAAAATATAAACGCAACATGTTAAGTGTTTGTCCCATGTTTAATGAGCTGAAATAAACTGGCAAGATATAAAATAAAATGTAGCTCAAATTTTGTGCACACATTTGTTTACATCCCTGTTAGTGAGCATTTATCATTTGCCAAGATAATCCAACCACCTGACAGGTGTGGCATATCAAGAAGCTGATAAACAGAATGATCACATGTGCACCTTGTGCTGGGGACAATAAAAGGCCACTCTAAAATGTGCAGTTTTGTCACACAACACAATGCCATAGATGTCTCAAGTTTTGAGGGAGCGTGCAATTGGCATGCTCACTGCAGGAATGTCCACCAGAGCTGTTGCCAGAGAATTTAATGTTAATTTCTCTACCAACGTCGTTTTAATAAATTTGCCAGTACGTCCAACCGGCCTCACAACTGCAGATCACGTGTAAACTTGCCATATTCGGCTTCTTCACCTGCAAGATCGTCTGAGACCAGCCACCCAGACAGCTGATGAAACTGAGGACTATTTCGGTCTATAATAAAGCCTTTTTGTGGGGAAAAACCCATTCTGATTGGCAGGTCCTGGCTCCCCGGTGGGTCTATGCCCTCCCAGGCCCACCCATGGCTGCGCCCTTGCCCAGTCATGTAAAATCCATAGATTAGACTGATTTCCTTTTATGAACTGTAACTCAGTAAAATCATTTTTTATATTTTTGTTCAGTATAATTTTGCTGCAATGTTTAGATTTGAAAGAATCTCACGCCAAGGAATTAGTTGACATTCACTGTTTCTGTCAGCATGTATGTCACAGTTAAGCTTTTGCAATTATGTAACCTAAGCAGTGGGGTGTCATGCCTGAGCAACGTTTCAGGGGAGTACCACATTTGGGGAACAGCTTGGCAACGGAGCAGCCAGGTTGTCATGTTGGAGTCTGTTTTTTTTTATCGGTTAACAATAGCATCACCACACTTGAATGACTAGCTAGCGATGCAATTATGCTGCATGTAGGGAGTTGTTTTCACACCTGGGGGAAAGCTAGCAACACAACAGCAGGTGTGCCTGCTTGGTCTTCTAATTGAAAACTGCAAAGCTGCTAAAAGAGCTCAAAAAGAAGAACTCTGAGAAGACTCTCCAAATAGGCTAGACATGTATGTACTCTGATCTTTCCATACAGTGATATTTGAGAACTAAAGCATACAATATCTTTTGTGGTCGTTTTCCCTCTGCTACAGTAGGACCGTGCACTTGCTGGACAGGACAGTGCCTCTCATTGTGAAATATTGGTCCTCACTTTTAGTCTTTAGTACACTTGTGTTCATAAATGTATGCTCTGCTCCTCAGAGACTACTCCAATAACATTAAATAGCACTGAAATATTAATATGGCAGTGCATTAAGCTGAAAGCCTCTGTTTTTCCCAGAGATGGAGGGTCCTACACTGTGCTTCACCACCCACAGAATTCTCCCTCATAGATTACATGATCAGGGTCAGCACTAGAACAGCTCCGTTCTCTAATATGGAAACCCAGGGCTGCGTTATGTACGGAAAAACATAATGCAACGTTCAATTAAACAGAAACGGTGCTGTTCTGAACGACCAATTGAAAAACTGGGAGCGGTTGGGTTGTGGGTTAAAAAGGCACCTCTGCCCTTTAAATACATCACTCATTGCTTCAAGCCACACCAACCAAATGGAGCAAACGTACCTCAGTCTGTTCAAGAATGTTTTGGAGAAACGTGTTGTTCAGTACAAGCCGTTACACAGCGTAGAAAATGTTCAATCGAACTGAACGCACACTAGGACTGCCCTGCAATCAACTGCATCAGTACTAGGGTACCAATGAGGGCCTTAGTGGTAACATGATGATTGATGGAAAATAAATAAAGTTTCTCAATAAATATTGTAGGCCCACATATTATACTACCGGTGTATTGAGTCAATTGCAGTTATTTCTGCAGTAAGGTGTCTTACTGGTGTTCAGCAGCCTGAAACAAATGGCACTACATAGACGTGTATGTGCACTAAGCTCTTGTGTTATTATATTGATAAAGCTTGTTTGTCCTCTTGTTCTCTCTGCAGGAGTTGTACATCGCTGTTGCTATCTCTGGAGCTATTCAACATCTGGCTGGGATGAAGGACAGCAAGGTGAAGTGCAGTTAGCATTCTTGCTTGATTTCTTTTCTGTCCTTTTTATACAGTAGTATAAGAAAAAAGAGCATGTTGCAATATTTTGAACTACATTGTTTGTTTCTGCAGACTATTGTTGCCATTAACAAGGACCCAGAGGCTCCCATCTTCCAGGTGGCCGACTATGGTCTGGTGGCTGATCTCTTTAAGGTGAGATAGCAGGCTGATTGTGTTAGAGAAATATTTACCCATGAGGAAACATTACGAAACACCCTTGCCATGACTGAAACTAACCGAACATGGCACCAGCCTCCAGCACAGCGCTGAATACCTAATCAGCAAGAGAGGCATTTCAATAACCAAGACATGACAAAAGTGACAGTCAGAATATTACATTCCCTGTTTCCCTGATACATTTTGCAAGACGCATTATTATCCCTCCTAATGGAAATGTGCATCTGTTGAATTATTGAGGTGCTGAATTAATCAGGTGAATTGTGGCCAGAGCCTGCTGCTCTGTAAAGATGCAACAACGGCTCTCCTTCAAACCATACAAATAAATCAATAGTTAACTTAAGTGGCTGGGTGTAAGTTCTCAGGTTTTATTTTCTCTTCCCTAGTGTCAGTACTTTACATGCTTAGCTGCCCTCTACTGTCTGGCTGGCACATATGGCCAGTGTGTCAGAGGGTTGACAAACTCTTGGACAAGAGGGCCTTTGCTTTCGGTGAAAGAGAAGTAGCTTTTATTTTCATGTGTATGTGTCCTGTTGTTAATCTTTTATTTACTATGGCGGTGGTGGTGCGTGAGAGGCCCAGGTGTTCTGGGTAAACTCTGTGAAAGTGATTGGTAATAATAGCTTGTGGCAGCAGAGTTGTGACCTGCTGGTTATCAGCTTACATGTGATCACTCCTCAGATAACTGATTAAAATGTATGGGCTTTCTCCTCTTCCTTTAATTGAAAACTGATCTCCGGGACACACTCGACTCGGGTGCTACTGATATAGTTTGTCAGGCACCCCACACATGTCCGTTAGATCAGTTACTCTCAGATTTTAATTGGTTTATCAATGAATTGATCTTAAATGGTGTCACCCCAAAACCATGAGACTAAACACTGACTGTTATAGCAAAGCTCAACCCTCCATTTCCATGTCGCAAGCTTACACCATGTCCATTGTGTCAACCTGGCTAGATTTGTCCGGTTAGGGAGGTGTAACCATCTTAAACTCCTCTGTTTTTCTCTCACTAGGCTGTGCCTGAGATGACCGCAGCATTGAACAAGTAAGCCAACGTTCAGCTAAGCAGCCATCCCACCACTTTTACCTGGGTACCAAGACTGTAACCATGCAGTTACAACTCTCCTACAACCTCTGCCTTAAACGATTTCTGGAGCTACTATTCTGGGGACACTAATAATGTTATCATCCTTCTCCATAAGTGGCAACAGAACAACACTCTCAGTTTACAAACGGACTGTTTGTTTTTATGTATGTAGTTATGAAAATGCCAGAAATAAAGTTCTGCTTACGGGCCGTAGGTTATAGTTTTATCCCTATTAATGCATTTTTTGTAACATGAATTTAACGTAGTGTCACTAATGAACTCTTCTTCTTTTTTTTTTATACCAAAAGCTCTTGGTATCAATGATGAAACTGACTGTAAATGACTGTTCTTTTACCATGTTTGCGTTTTAATTACTTTTACTCTGCAATGAATTCCCTTTATGATCAATTTACAAAATGCCTGTTGACATTAAAGTGCACAGGATTAGTTTGCCATATCGCAGGTTTATGCTATATTACATTTTCTTCTGACCAACACTTTCCACAATAACTTCAATTACAAACCCCTCCAGATTTGGTAGCTGAAAAGACCCTCAATCGCTCAGGTGTCTGGCTTAAAAAGATTTCTCTGAGCTTTTTTTCGTCATAATTTGAATACAAACCTTAGTATTGATAATGTAGAAAGACTAAGGTAACAAAATAAGCTGAGAACACAACTCAACACATTTGAACACAGATCAAATGTACCCGGCAGCAGTCCGAACAGAGAGGACTGTACTTATTGTTGGGGTCTGGAGACATCAGTCTGACTTTCACTATGGTTTGTTTGTTAAATGTCTAAGGGTGGCTCGTACATCATGACTGCCAATTAGTTGTAGTCTTGTGATCAGTCTAGCGTCTCCAGTCCCTAATCAAGTATTTCAGACAAACCACCCAGTTCCACACACACCCACCCTGCCCCATCCCTAAATGATATCAAATGTACAGTGCTTTCAGAAAGTATTCATACCACTTGACTTATTCCACATTTTGTGGTACAGCCTGAATTTAAAATTGATTAAATATACTTTTGTTCTCACCCATCTACACACACATTTATTGAAAATAAAATACAGAAATATCTAATTTACATAAGTATTCAGTCAATAGTTCATTTCAGTGCCGATTTAAAGTCCAGAACACTACGGTAACTAGGCCCTCAAAACATCATTGCTAGACAGCCATTTTCAAGTCTTGTCATAGATTTTCAAGCCGATTTAAGTCAAAACTGTAACTAGGCCACTCAGGAACATTCAATGTCGCCTTGGTAAGCAACTCCAGTGTATATTTGGCCTTGTGTTTTAGGTTATTGTCCTTCTGAAAAGTGAATTTGTCTCCCAGTGTCTGTTGGAAAGCAGACTGAACCAGGTTTTCCTCTAGGATTTTGCCTGTGCTTAGCTCTATTCTGTTCCTTTTTATCCTAGAAAACTCCCTCGTCCTTGCCGATGACAAGCATACCCATAACATGATGCAGCCAACACCATGCTTGAAAATATGAAGTGTGGTACTCAGTGATGTTGTGTTGGATTTGGCCCAAACATAACGCTTTGTATTCAGGACATGAAGTTAATTTCTTTGCCACATTCTTTGCAGTTTTACTTTAGTGCCTTATAACAGGAAGCATGTTTTAGAATATTCTGTACAGGCTTCCCTTTCACTCTGTCATTTAGATTAGTATTGTGGAGTAACTACAATGTTGTTGATCCATCCTCAGTTTTCTCCTATCACAGCCATTAAACTCTAACTGTTTTAAAGTCACCATTGGCATCATGGTGAAATCCCTGAGCGGTTTCCTTCCTCTCCGGCAACTGAGTTAGGAAGGACACCTGTATCTTTGTAGTGACTGGGTGTATTGATATACCATCCATAGTGTAATTAATAACTTCACCATGTTCAAAGGGATATTCAATGTCTGCTTTTTATTTATTTTTTATCTACCAATAAGTGCCCTTCTTTGCTAGGCATTGGAAAACCTCACTGGTCTTTGTGGTTGAATCGTTTGAAATTCACTGCACGACTGCGGGACCTTACAGATAATTGTATGTGTGGAGTACAGAGATGAGGTAATAATTCAAAAATCATGTTAAACACTATTATTGCACACAGAGTGAGTCCATGCAACTTAAGAAATGTTTTACTCCTGAATTTATTTAAGCTTGCCATAACAAAGGGGTTGAATACTTATTGACTCAAGAAATGTTAGCTTTTCATTCATTTGTAAAAATGTCTAAAAACAGAATTCCACTTTGACATTATGGGGTATTGTGTGTAGGCCAATGACGCAACAAAATGTGGAAAAAGTCAAGGGGTATGAATACTTTCTGAAGGCACTGTAAAAGCATCAGAGCCAGTCACATTTCTGCAGAGCACTGCTGTCTAAGAGCTGGGGCTAATGCTCCATTACTGGTTTCTTTTGGTGACTTGTTCATATACTCATTGTGTCAATTCCTGATAGATGTTCAGTGCATGTTCACTAAACAGCCTTTTCCTGTCCTCTATGGACGATGTGCAGTGCTGGCTGAGCCGCCATTCACAGTTCCAAGGTGCTTTTGGCTAAGAGGAGGATGGCTGTATGCCGGTGGAGGAGGCCTCTGAGTGCATGTCTTTAGTGTTAGTCAGTGAGTTTCAGGAGGGTCTTTGATGAGTGAGTCAGTTTTGGCTGAGCATTACAGTACCCCTGTAGCCCTTTCCTATGTCTCAGGCAGACAGTTGACGGGGGCATCTCCCTGAGACAGCTTGTACTTCTCCATGAAGGGCTCGCTGGCCTGCAGGTGGATGAGGGGCTTGGTGTGGAAGCCTCCCCGGCTCTCCTGGTTCCTCTTGTTGTAGATGTTGAGCCTGTGCTCCAGCTCAGGGCTAGTCTTGGTGGAGCCAGCAGGACTGGGCAGTTTGAGGTTGACAGGGTCCAGGCCCTTCTGTCCCAGACAGGAGTCCTCAGACAGCGAGGAGAGCAGCTCCTGCACCACGGCGCTGGGGTGTCCTCTGGGGCCAGGCTGTGTGCCCACGCCCAGGGCCAGGGGGCTGCAGTACGGCGGGGGGTAACAGCGCTGGCCGCTGTAGGAGTCTGTGGAGGTGGAAGCCTCGCGGACGGTGGAGCTGCAGTCAGTGGTGGAGCCCAGGGTGTGGCTGCTGATGCTGTGCTGGCGGGCGCTGGAGCGGGAGCGGGACATGGTGGTGTTGGAGGCCTCGCTCACAGAGCCGCCTGTCTGCTGCAGACGGCTGGACACTGCGTCTGCACTCACCAGAGACGAGGGCAGCTGGCTGGGGTTGTTGGGAAGATGCACGTCTATGGCTGCAGTAGTGAAGACACGAGCTCGATCTGGGATCCCAACATCTACAAGAAAACATTTTGGACTCATCACGATACTGCTGACTGACTGTGAAATAAAGGACAGAAACAAATGTGTCTGAGAGTGGGGACTTGTTTATTCTTACCACTGCTTGCCTCACTGTAGTACTGGCTGATGTAGTTGTTCATGTCATCTTGAACAACATGATCTGAAAGAAATAAGAAACAAAATACGTGCTCTCTCTCAAAAACAATTAAATGAGTTGGATGTTTGGTAACCTTATCTATTCCTATGTTTGTTGTGTAAAGGTTTCCCAGAATGCATCAGTCAGATATTTCTGACCAGAATGATGAACCGTAACCCCCAAACATAAAAGCATGCTGCTGTACTGTAGTTCAGTTATGAGCTGCAGATTTTTAGTGACCTACCTATTGTAGGTTATAGCAGTGGTTGTGAAGGATTTAGACACCATACATAGAACGCGGTCAGACTGTGGTAGAATGAAGCAATAAGGCCCGAGAAGGTGCAGTATATGTCTAACATACCACGGCTAAGGGCTGTTCTTATGTACGGCTCAACGCGTAGTGCCTGGGTAGCCGTGGTATATTGGCCATATAGCACAACCCCCTGATGTGCCTTATTGCTATTATAAACTGGTTATCAACATAATTAGAACAGTAAACAAGTAATTTTGCGTCATACCCGTGGTATATTGTCTGATATACTATGGCTTTCAGTCAATCAACATCCAGGACCCAAACTACCCGGTTTATAATGCTCATTATACCTGAATTACCAGAGAAGAGGTGAGCGGTGGTGGGTAGCAGGGCCTGTGGCTGGCTTCCCTGACCTGTCACAGTTTACCTCCCCTGCTCCCTCTAGATAGATAAATGGATTACATTTGATTCTAATTCAAATATTCATTTTAAGACTGTCCCAAGAGGACAGGCAATGCTTGGCCTAAAACGCGGCGGCAGAGACAATCACTCTGCGATTAATAACACATGAGCACTTAAAATGCTGTAGTCTGACACACGGCCTCGCTGTGAAACCTCAGATATATAGCAGAGAGAGAAGCATGGTGATTTATGTCCTTACTTAAGGAATGGGCTCTGTGTTTTGAGCTCTGAGAATACAGTACTGACAGTCTTTGTTCCTCTACCTCCTGTAACTTGTGATCTATCTCCCTTTGAAAGGTTTATGGCTCCTGTATTCATTGGAGTGTTTGTTCAGAATTTGAAAGAAGCACGTTTTGACAATAGTTCACTACCCCCATGCCAGCATGCCAGTCACCCTGCCCTCTGTCTCCTGATACATGGAAAACAAACAGTAGGTTTACAGTATAAGACAGATGTTCTCCTCATTATCTCTAAGTCTAAGGCCGGGATTCAATCCGATCGCGGGTTATAGCGGCTTTTAAAGGCAATGTTCCCACATTCACGGAGATCCCATTTATGCTGCATATGTCAATCGGAAATTGCCTTTAAAAGCCGCAATGCCTTTAACCTGCGATCGGATTGAATTCCGGCCTAAGTTAGATGCCATAGTCATCATACAATAGTGTCTCATCATATTAAACCAATCTCTTGGTGTGTTTTTTACAGGTATATTTACACAGAGGATATTGTCCTCATTCAAACAGCACTCCCATAGCACTGAGTTCTCAGAATCATCAGAGGTCCCACACTGCTAGGCCTCTATCAGGCTGTTGTTCTAGGGGAATTTCCAAGTCTTTTCCTTGTACAGTACTCTACTATTCTATCCTCCCTGGAATATGATGTGGTTTGTTAGATGTTTTTTGGGGGTGGTTCCAGGTGAATTGAGCACATATTTTCAACCGAACTGTCCACTCTTTAACAACTACATGACCCAAAGCACAGAGCACTCTGTTTATTCAACCACTTTGCCTGACAAATCTGATCTGAAATGGCAAGAACATCTCTCTATTCCCCTGGCTTCAAGAGAGACCCTCTTTGGTTAGAACCCACAGCCAGCAGGCAATCCATAGAGATAAAACAGTATCATAGGGTTCTATCTCGAGGAGGCAATCTGCTGTGCTCTGAAGTAATACTACAGTAAGTGGTGTGGGTATAGGATCAGGGTGTGGTACCTCCAGGGGCCGCTGCCTCCCTGGCTTTAGCCTGACTGCGCTGCTCGGGGCCCCTAGGGGCTAGGCCATCCACCTCTTGAAAGAGACTGCACTGCTTGCCCCACACATGGTGGATCTGCATGGCAGCCTCTCGCTCTGCTACCAGGTCCAAATCCTGCTGAGCCAGGTGGGCCCGCAGCTGCCTGATCTCAAACTGAGAGAGAGAGGGAGGGAGAGATGCATACAGTACATGTGTTATCCTTACACAGAAACACCTGAATGCCCTTTAAGAGCACTGGTTCTCATATCCATCCACTTTGCTAAAGGCCACCCACTGTACATAATCAACTAGCTACACAACTGGTATCTTACTTAAGTGTGTTGCCTTTATTGAGAAACCCTGGGTTGTGTCACACAGATCTTTGAACACATATATTACATATAGAGTGCATTCGGAAAGTATTCAGACCACTTGACTTTTTCCATTTTGTTATGTTACAGCCTTATTCTAAAATGGATTAAATAAATAGAAATCCTCATCAATCTACACACAATACCCCATAATGACAAAGCGAAAACAGATTTTTAGATTTTTTTGCAAATGTATCAAAAAAAAGTATTCAGACCATTTGCTCGAAATTGAGCTCAGGTGCATCCTGTTTCCATTGATCATCCTTGAGATGTTTCTACAACTTGATTGGAGTCCACCTGTGGTAAATTCAATTGATTGGACATGATTTGTAAAGGCAAACACCTGTCTATATAAGGTCCCACAGTTGGCAGTGCATGTCAGAGCAAAAACCAAGTCATGAGGTCAAAGCAATAGCCCGGAGAGTTCCGAGACCGAGACAGGATTGTGTCGAGGCACAGATCTGGGGAAGGGTACCAAAACATTTCTGCAGCATTTAAGGTCCTCATGAAGCCTGTGGCATCCATTATTCTTAAAGGGAAGAAGTTTGGAACCAGCAAGGCTCTTCCTAGAGCTGACTGCCTGGCCAAACTGAGCAATCGGGGGAGAAGGGCCTTGGTCAGGGAGGTGACCAAGAACCCGATGGTCACTCTGACAGAGCTCCACCAATCAGGCCTTTATGATAGAGTGGCAAGACAGAAGCCACTCTTCAGTAAAAGGCACATGACAGCCCGCTTGGAGTTTGCCAAAAGGCACCAAAAGGACTCTCAGACCATGAGAAACAAGATTCTCTGGTCTGATGAAACCAAGATTGAACTCTTTGGACTGAATGCCAAGCGTCACGTCTGGAGGAAACCTAGCACCATCCCTAAGGCTAAGCATGGTGGTGGCAGCATCATGCTGTGGGGATGTTTTTCAGGGAGACTAGTCAGGATCGAGGGAAAGATTAACGGAGCAAAGTACAGAGAGATCCTTGATGAAAACCTGCTCCAGAGCGCTCAGGACCTCAGACTGGGGCGAAGGTTGACCTTCCAACAGTACAACGACCCTAAGCACACAGCCAAGACAAAGCAGGAGTGGCTTCGGGACAAGTATCTGAATGTCCTTGAGTGGCCCAGCCAGAGCCCAGACTTGAACCTGATCGACCCATCCAACCTGACAGAGCTTGAGAGGATATGTAGAGAACAATGGGAGAAACTCCCCAAATACAGGTGTGCCAAGCTTGTAGCGTCATACCCAAGAATACTTGAGGCTGTAATTGCTGCCAAAGATGCTTCAACAAAGTACTGAGTAAAGGGTATGAATACTTATGTAAATGTGATATTTCCGTTTTTATTTCATTTATTTTTGCAAAAATGTCTAAAAACCTGTTTTTGCTTTGTGATTATGGGGTATTGTGTGTAGATTGATGAGGGGAAAAAAAAGATTTAACCTCTACGGGAACGGTGTCCCGTATACGGGACGGTTGAGCTAACGTGCGCTAATGTGATTAGCATGACTGTTGTAAGCATGACTGTTATATGGGCAGAAAGCTTAAATTCTTGTTAATCTATCTGCACTGTCCAATTTACAGTAGCCATTACAGTGAAAAAATACAATGCTATTGTTTGAGGAGAGTGCACAACAACAAAAAACGTACCACGGCAACTGGTTTGATACATTCACCTCTGAAGGTAAATAATGTACTCACATTCAGTAATCTTGTTCTGATTTGTCATCCTAAGGGTTCCAGAGATCAAATGTAGCATAGTTTTGTTTGATAAAATCCATTTTTATATTCAAATGTAGGAGCTGGGTTCTACAGTTTGAACCCCTGCTGTCTCTGGCTCCACACTCACCTCGCCCGGCCATCTAGATGTGTGAAAGTTAGTGTATAAGCTAATGATCCATCATGTATGACATTCCTGGGAGTGTGTAAACTTACATTTTGTATTACCATATAATTTTTGTATGTTCTCTATAGTTATGTACTTGAAAATGTATCAATTGACCAATTCGACACATTTGGGCAGACTTTATACAAAATAGTCCAGTATTGCAATGCTTCACTGGATCAATATGAAACTTTGCGCACACACTTCTAAATTGCACCTAAACTGCAATATTATATTGTGGCCTTTCTCTTTTTTTTCCTTCTTTTTTTTTGCCATTTAGCAGACACTTTTATCCAAAGCGACTTACAGTCATGTGTGCATACATTTTTACGTATGGGTGGTCCCGGGGATCGAACCCACTACCCTGGCGTTACAAGCGCCATGCTCTACCAATTGAGCTACAGAGGACCACGCTTGCATTTCAAAGATGATGTAACAAAAAAATAAATAGAAAACACATATTTTTTGGTTTGTATTATCTTTTACCATATCTAATGTGTTATATTCTCCTACAATAATTTCACATTTCCACAAACTTCAAAGTGTTTCCTTTCCAATGGTATCAAGAATATGCATATCCATACTTCAGGTCCTGAGCTACAGGCAGTTAGATTTGCGTATGTCATTTTAGGCGAATTTTTTAAAAAAAGGGTCCGATCCTTAAGAGGTTAACCTATTTTAGAATAAGGCTGTAATGTAACAAAATGTGGAAAAAGTCAAGGGGTCTGAATACTTTCCGAATGCACTGTATAATATATATCCCTCTAGTCATGGTTAGAACATAACATTTTCCGTCTTCGGTCAACATGACCCAGCAGTGCTGTACAATGACAGTCAAGCTATGCTATATTACATATGTGTACAAATGTGACTGGATCCTTTTTCTGAATGTAAACCCCGGGATGGGAATAACAGGAATGTTGTGACACATTGACTGAATACAGAACCTGATACTATCTCCTACTAGGGATATGTAATGTATTTATGTGTTCAACTCAGTGTTTGTCATATTAAAGGTTTGGTTATTCCGCACATACATTTTTGAATTTGAATGTGTTTTGTTATCTCAAATCTATACATAATGTATTGGAAGTGAACATATATTCATTCTTTGCATGTTGCTGCACTCTGCTGGTTAGAGATGTGTATGACAGGCAGGGTCAGTAGGTAGGAGGTGTGTGAACATACTGCCTGCTCCTGGCAGATCTGGGTGAGTCTCTCCAGCTGCTCCTCCCTGACAGCCTTGGCTTTCTCATACTGCTGGATCTCCATCTCCATCTCCACCTTCACCTGCAGCACGTAGGCTGGGACAGAACACAGGACAGACTGCTATGTAAGTCTCTATTAAAGAGACTGCTATGTAAGGGTAAACGAATTCACACTGACAGAACTTTATTTTATAAAGTAGTAGGCCACAAAGCCATAACGTTGTGTTGCATATTGGGTGTGGGGGGGGGGGTTCAGGGTCAATGGGTTCCGGGGTCAACACCCTTCTAGTGGGGTCCGGGGATATGTTAGTCTACACCTGTTGTTTATGAAGCATGTGACCAATTAAATTTGATTTGACTTGAACAGACTTTTGAGGTAGCCTACGTTTTTGTTCCATTTGGTGGGTGTGGCGGGATGTGGCTTGATTTGCACTTTTCGCACCAAAGTACGTTCATCTCTAGGAGACATCTCCTGAGCGGTATGACGGCTGCGTGGTCCAATGGTGTTTATACTTGCATACTATTGTTTGTACAGATGAACGTAGTACCTTTATGCGTTCGGAAATTGCTCCCAAGGATGAACCAGACTTGTGGAGGTCTACAATTGTTTTCTGAGGCCTGATTTCTTTTGATTTTCCCATGATGCCAAGCAAAGAGGCTCTGAGTTTGAAGGTAGGCCTTGAAATACATCCACAGGTACACCTCCAATTGACTCAAATGATGTCAATTAGCCTATCAGAAGCTTCTAAAGCCATGACATCATTTTCTGGAATTTTCCAAGCTGTTTAAAGGCACAGTCAACTTAGTGTATGTAAACTTCTGACCCACTGGAATTGTGATACAGTGAATTATAAGTGAAATAATCTGTCTGTAAACAATTGTTGGAAAAATTACTTGTGTCATGCACAAAGTAGATGTCCTAACCGACTTGCCAAAACTATAGTTTGTTAACAAGAAATTTGTGGAGTGGTTGAAAAACGTAAGTGTATGTAAACTTCCGACTTCAACTGTATGTATTTGTCATTGTGTTGTAGAGCAAGTATTGATTGCAGTTCGTAATATGCATGGCAAAAAATTGCTCTGTAAAGCTCAGTAAAAAGCAAGTCGGAATAATGACGTCATCCATAGGGGTGGAGCTGCAGAAATATTATTGCTGCGTCTGTGCAACCTGACAGTAAAGGACATGATACAGAGAAGACTGCACCCCCTCCACCCCCTCTACCCTGTGGCCCTCCCAGCCTCACCATCGATTATCCTCTTGACCCTCCAGATGCGCAGGGTGATGATGAGGCCAATGGCGTCCCAGGGGCTGCTGGGGCCGTTGGCCACCGTTGAGGCTACCATGGGGGCCAGGGACAGCACTATGACTGCACCATCAAACACCTACACACACACACACACACACACACACACACACACACACACACACACACACACACACACACACACACACACACACACACACACACACACACACACACACACACACACACACACACAGGCTGAGGTCTGACATTGGGAGAATGACATTGCAGTGGAACAAACCCACCTCAGGACTAATGGCCCTCCAGGGAGCTTACCTCCACTTTGTTCTCGATGTAATCCCAGATCCCCACCACCACAATCCTGAACACCGTCTGAGAGAGAGGGAGGGAAAGAGAGAGGGGGAGGGAGGGAGAGGTAGGGAAAAAAGGGAGATGGATAGAGTGGGGGAGAGAACCATAGCGATATAATTCATATTTCCTTTAGTTGTAAACATCCCCCTAAAAGTCTTAATGTCTCAGTAAAAGTGAATTGCAGTTGTGATTCAGTTTTCTTTTGTCTATCCACAGGTAATTCATCAATTACATTATATTAATACAGTTCACTACCACAGCGGTCGGATTTCATCCAAACAGTTAGAGATGCACACTGCACCCTGCACTAGCTAGAGCTGACTCAGCAGCGGCTGCAGAAATCTACTGCACTCCTCTCCTCTTTATTCCTAGCTTTTTCTCTATTATTATTTAAAATAAATAAATAATATTGCTCGGACTTTGCTGGACCTCACGAAACCCTAATAAGTCGATAATGTGTTGATGGGGGAAAGGGCAGGCTTTAATAGGGTGTTGTAATCAGGATAAACCACTGCACCTCTCTAGCTCACCTTTGTCTCATACTGCACACTATAGCATTAAATCAACCCTCGGCTGCATCAGCTGTAAGTGAGCCTACTGCCACTGTGGGGGAGAGAGAACGGAGAGGGGCTCACCTCAGCGAAGAACACAGATAGAATGACCAGGCTGATCCAGTGGACGATGCTGGCAAACTGCAAAGCGTTGTTAACTGTGAAGACAGCACAGCATAGACAATGTTTAGAGATGACTAGTTTACTCAAGGTTCAGATACTTCGTTAAATACTGGAGACGGACACACAATCACAGACATACAGGCAAAGACACATACATACACACGCAAGAAGCAAGCTCACAAGCACAGGTTTGTCTGAATGCCTGTCTATTCATCCGTCTAATTGTGGCCAGCATCATACTGCATTGGGCTGTCAACTACAGCATTCCTCTTCCTCTTCACGCGCCACCTCCCTTCCCATCTGTCTTTGTTTGCTGTGTTCACTGATCTGTCCATCAGTCCATTCATCTTCCTCCATCCCTCCCTCTCTCCTTACATTCACCCAGCAGACAGGCAACCTTTATCACCCCATTTATTTGTCCATTAATCTCCCTCTATGCATTTGTCTTTCCCTCCCAACCGTCCCGTCTCTTAAATCTGCCTCCGGCGACTTGTAAAGATTTGAATGCATTAAGATACATTCACATTCACATGATGGAGGTCCTACAGTATCATCCTTCATAGAGCTTGTGACACCATAGAGGTGGTGACTCCTGACCTTATCCCCATGATAGATGAGGACACCTCCCTCCCCAGAGCCAGAGGATGCAGATGAGGTCATCTCCATGTGAGATTGGTCACAGTGGCATTAGACCACCTGACACTGTGTTTACTAATGAGGCTGATATCATAGAGAGGAGAGATCACAGCCCCAGGTCCTGGACCTGTCACTGTCACAGCATTATCATAGGTAATGTATTATACAACAGGCCTAGGGCCAATATTAGCTACATCCATAACAGCAGATGTGCATTATTGTATATTCCAACATACTTTACCACGGCTGTTTTGTATGTCTTAACTTCACTAGGGGTCAAATCACAATTTTTGTGCCAGTTTAAGTTGCAGAAGTGTATCACAAGCTAGCCCTTTCAAATTGTCATTACATGAAAACAAGTCCAGAAGATCCAGGTTCTAATACAGAGACAGGTCCAGGGTCACTCACACTGCAGGAGCTTGGTGTCGATGAGCAGCTCCAGACACAGCAGCACCACCACCAGGATGACACAGGCCACCAGGAAACAGTTAAAGCCTGCGCTCAGCAGGCACACCTGCCATGGGGCTGCCCTCCGCCCACAGCACGGCTTCAGCCAGTTAGACCTGACACCAGAGAGAGGCGGAGAGGAGGGGGTGGAATGCAGAGACAAAGCAGAATGTCATGAAATGCAAATCAGAGAAGGACATGTATTCAAATGTATTAGTTCTCTTCAAACCTCTATGGCAGGGGTTGGCAACAGGCGGCCCGTGGGACAAAACTGGCTTGCAAGTGATTGTTTTTGCCCCTCCCAAAAGTCTTTCGTAAAAAAATTACATCAATATTAGGTTAAAAAAAAAACTGTAAAATTGACAGGAATTCAGATAAAAATGAGTTTAATTTAGGAAGTCTGTTCCCAAGTATTCCCTCAAATTAAAAAAAGACATATGTGATCGTGTCTCAATGTAATCAAAGTATGAAATGATTGTTATTTTCAAATACAATCTCTTATTGGGCTTAGTTGTAGTCAATTTGCAGTGTACAAATTATAATTATGTTCCGCCCCCTGACCATCCGCTCCGACATTATTTAAATATTGAAAAAATCTGTCTACAGACAGAAACAACATAACACAATTTGAAATCATATGGGGCCAGATTCTTACAAGCATTAGAAACAACATTGGGTGTGGATACAGTGGGAACATGTGGGTCTGAGCACCTGTGATTTCATTAATATTTGTGGAAATGTATGTAAATGTTAAGTGGTCTATTGTTTTTGTCTATGTATGTTTTTGTTTAAAAACAGATATTACAAAAAAAGAATGGGCCAGAGGCTGAATATAGTTGCCTACCCCTCCTACTCTGTGACAGACTGGACTGTGAAAGTCGCTGAGAAGTGCTTTCTACTTGGTGTTATACTCTATCTGAGTCAGCAGAGGGCACCGTTCCAATCAGGCACAAATAACACAATATTACACATCCACACACACATACTACTGATTTGTGACAATGTTTGTCTGAGCATTTGTTGAATTGACCAACAAAAGTTTCATCTAAACTCAAACAACAGTGTGAGAAATCAGTGCTCTAGAATGACACAGCGCTTGTGTTTGCCTTGTGGCACCACTCAACACATGGCCATATTTACTTAGCTTCACAAACAAGTACGGTCTGTATTTGGCAGTTTTTAGAGCTGAGCAGTATGTTGAAGCCATAGAACTCAAACTATAATGTTGATTCCACTTTTTATGATCTCTTTAATTAGAGATATAAAGATATTTCCCAGCCAGATCTCTGTGTTCAGTGTGCCTCATCCTTCTTGGAGCAGACTGTTCTGTTGTGTTGTATTCCAGCCACCTTCATGCTGGCTGGCTGTGTGACCTCATCTTGTGGCTCTCAGAGGGCTTCAGTGGGGCTGTATCCACACCATCTGGAGGCCACAGACCTCCTCCTCATCCCTCCTCATTCACAGCTCAAAAGATGATTGCTTGCGGGATGATGATGATGGCTTCATCTGATTTCCATGACAATATTCATACGCTACTGGGTTTTTATTTTTCTCACTCTTCTGACAGGGATGAAGTAGGTGGTAACGGGGTGCGGGTCGGATCCGTAATATCACCTTTACATCTCATGACCCCTATGTCAGTCATTCATTCACACTGCCATCCATTCCCCAGTGATATGACAGTAGGCTCCAGTGATCCCCCTCCCTCTAAATCAGGGGTGGGCAAACCTTTTGGCTCAAGGGCCACATTGAGTTTTTGAAACCAAGTGAAGGGCCACATACTAAATGTGTGACAAAACATGTGAAGCCTTTATTCGTTTTCACATTGACACGCAACTACTAGTGTACTGTAGGTGTACATATGCTTGCAGAACAATTCTACCCTTGTACCATCTCTACCCTTGTTTTTTGTGAACACATTGTTCACACATTTTCCACAAAATTGATATAATTTATAACATCACAAACACAGTCAAACACACACACAGATCCTGCATCTCTACCCTTGTAAAGTACAATCAAACTTAGTCGCAATATGCAAACTTAAAATATATATATATTGTATGACTGGAGACATGCAAAATTTGAGTGAAACATATGGTAAGAGCATCTGTTTAATTTGGAATGGTCTGTTCTTGAAAGCATATTAAGGAACAATTCTCATCTCCATTGTGAGCCATATTTACAGTTATCCATTCAACTCAGCCCAAATCTGACTGATTAGTTATTACCTGTATCCAAGTGCATTGCTGGATAATTATCACTGCATAACCATCACCATGAAAAAGCATAATCCTTGCCTACCCCAGTCACGTTTATTTGAGTCTTAATGTGAACAATGGGTCTGGTCACCTCTCTTGGCAAGGGCATCAAAGTCTGGTGTCATCTTTGATGTAGAGATTCTCAGAACAGCTGACAAGTGGTAATTTGTTAAATTTGACCTGTGATGGGATTTGTTGTAATTCATGACTGAGAACATTTGTTCACACACATATGTGGCCCGAATAAAACAAGCATCCTTTGGGTGTTCTTTTTAATGTTTGGAAACTTTGTTTCATTCAGTGAGCCATAGAACTGGTCTATTGTTGCTGTTTTGTACTTCTCCTTCAAAGCTCTGTCACATTGGATGTCGATGAGCTCCAATTATGTGTCTGGTGGTGCTTTCTCACTGCCGAAAGACGGGCATGATACAAGCTCCAGCTCAGTCTCAATCTTGGTGAAGTCTGAGAAGCGGTGGGAAAACTCAGCATGCAGGTCGATCAAAGTGCTACTGTATGTCTCAGTGCGGCACTGCGATGTGGGCGCCTTCATTGCGGCCAGTGTCGGAAAATGAGCGAGAGACCGGCTGCTCATTTGTCTGGAGAACAACATAAGTTTGGATTACAGTTCATGCACAAAAACACAATTTCCCTGCAGTTTCACATTTAGATCGTTCAGATGCCCTAATATGTCCACACCGAAACCAAAGTCGCCCAGCCAGTCTATGTCTTTCAACTCGGAGAAGTCGTCAGCTTTACCAACCGTATCAAGGAACATACCTATCACCCATCTCAGTTTCCACACACGGCAAAATACTTTTCCCAGGTTTAGCCAGCGCACATTTGAATGGTACAACACGTCCTGGTGCTCTGCCTCTGTGTCATTGAACAGCTGAATGAACTGACAATGGTTAAGCCCACTTGCCCATATAAGTTGACAAATTTTACAACCACTTTGACAAAATTTTCCAGCTTTAACACACTTTTACACAGGGCTTCCTGATTAATAATACAGTGAAGAAATATAAATTCCTCCAAGTTAGGGCTTTCTTCTTTTACTTTGTCTTGTAATCTTTTTAGTAGGCCAATGTTTTTACAGGTTAGATTTGGTGATCCATCTGTTGTGACGTTTGTCAGTTTGCTCCACGGCAGATTCCTTTTTTCCAAGCAGGCAGACACCCTGTCATATAAGTCAGAGCCCCTGGTTATTTCCATCATTTATTCCATCGCAAGAAGTTCCTCTGTTATTTAAAAGTTCTCATTTATTCCTCGGACAAAAATTAAAAGTTGAGCGGTGTCTCTGATGTCAGTACTCTCATCCAGTGCTATAGAAAAAAGTTGAAGCCATCTGCTTTTTTCTTCAACTCAGAGATTAACTCCTCACCTATCACTTCCACGCGCCTGGTGATGGTTCTGCATGATAAGCGAATTTTCTCAAATTGGCTTTTACTCTCAGGACAAAGTATACCAGCAGTCTCCACCATACACTCTTTCAAAAGTATTTTGCTGTCCATTCTTCTTTAAACACACGACATTCGAGTCCAATTTTTCGCATTTTCGCAGCACTCATTTTTCACGTCAAAAGTCGTCAAGCAATGAAGTGGCTATGATGACAGAGCATTCTGAATCTGACTGTAGGCCCAAATACAGAGCGCGCTGCCAGGCTACAGCGCCATCTATTGGAGGTTGTTTGTATATCATGTAATGAGTAATTTTAGTCCACAAATCGTAACTCAAATATAATAATATTTAATACATTTAAAAAATGTCTCGTGGGCCGGATTGAAGTGCCCGGTGGGCCGGATATGGCCGTACTTTGCCCCCCCTTGCTCTAAATGGCCATGCATTTCCATCAGTGTGGAGATAAGAGTGGTATTTCCCAGGTGAGCTGGGCCCTTGTCTGGGTACATTGTGTCTACCTTAAATCCAACCTCCCCTCTGTGTCCCTCCTACCAGACACTATGCCCGAGACAGGCTCCCAGAGATTCATGGTCAATAAATAATGGCAGATCTGTGCGATGCAGACAGGACTTTCCCTCCCTGTCACTACTCTGTATTCTACACAGACAAAATTACTCTGATATTTCCAGTGAAAGACCAGGCTAGTGATGCTGCTTCTTAAGGGCAGACAGTGAAAGATGCATGTTCTCTGAAAAACAGCACTTTGTCATTGTCACCTGTCCCCGAGTGAAGAAATCCCATTGCCAATGTCCGTCTTTTAGCACAAGAGAGGAAGAAAGATTCTACTTCCAGGCTTCAGGACAGAGCAGGCAAACAGACAGAGAGGCAGTTATTTTTGAAGGCACTGGGGCTGTGCAGAGAGGGGTAGAGAGAGAAAAGAGAGAAAAGAGAGAGGTTGGAGCCAGAGCGAGAGAGTGAGAGAGACCCAGTGAGATGAGCCAGTTTGCGGCTATAGCTGGACCTCCGGTGGAGGACTGGATATCCTGTCCACCTGGTGCCAAGATCAGCAGAGGGGCTGGGGGCTGGAGAAGGGCCATGCTGTGTCAATGAGCACTCCCAGGGGCTAACTGGCACACGCTGCTGCCCACTGCACCACTGCCAGTCACTCTGAGCCAAGCCGTGCCAACAGATTAGGAGCTCAACACTGGAGGTGACAGGGAATTAGAGGAGGTTTCTATGTGATAGCAGAAAAGACATTCATTGGCCAGTAGGGACAGTATCTCACGTTACATGTGTCCACTGTTCACATATCCACGTGTCCATATGTGTGACTCAATGCTGCAGGACTGTTTTGAGAATACTGATTGGAATATGTTTCAATCAAGAGTCATCCATCAACATTGAGGAATATACATTGTCAGTCACAGGCTTCAGTAGGAAATGTGTTGATGATGTTGTACCCAGAATAACAATCACATTTTGTTACGTTACAGCCTTATTCTAAAATGGATTAAATAGTTTTTTCCCCTCATCAATCTACACACAATACCCCATATTGACAAAGCAAAAACAGGTTTTTAGACATTTTTGCTAACATATAAAAAATACATATTTACATAAGTTATCTCTCCAGAGATGTTCGATCAGGTTCAAGTCCAGGCTCTGGCTGGGCCACTCAAGGACATTCAGAGACTTGTCCCAAAGCCACTCCTGCGTTGTCTTGGCTGTGTGCTTAGGGTCGTTGTCCTGTTGGAAGGTGAAACCTTCGCCCCAGTCTGAGGTCCTGAGTGCTCTGGAGCAGGTTTTCATGAAAGATCTCTCTGTACTTTGCTCCGTTCAGCTTTGCCTGGATCCTGACTAGTGTCCCAGTCCCTGCCGCTGAAAAACATCCCCACAGCATGATGCTGCCACATCCATGCTTCAACTTAAGGATGGTGCCAGGTTTCCTCCAGACGTGATGCTTGGCATTCAGGCCAAAGAGTTCAATCTTGGTTTTCATCAGACCAGAGAATCTTGTTTCTCATGGTCTGAGAGTCTTTAGGTGCCTTTTGGCAAACTCCAAGCGGGCTATCATGTGCCTTTTACTGAGGAGTGGCTTCCGTCTGGCTACTCTACCATAAAGGCCTGATTGGTGGAGTGCTGCAGAGATGGTTGTCCTTCTGGAAGGTTCTCCCATCTCCACAGAGGAACTCTAGAGCTCTGTCAGAGTGACCATCGGGTTCTTGGTCACCTCCCTGACTAAGGCCCTTCTCCCCTGATTGCTCAGTTTGGTGGACAGCCAGCACCAGGAAGAGTCTTGGTGGTTCCAAACTTCTTCCATTTAAGAATGATGGAGGCAACTGTGTTCTTTGGGACCTTCAAAGCTGCAGAAATGTTTTGGTACCCTTCCCAGATCTGTGCCTCGACACAATCCTGTCTCGTAGCTCTACGGACAATTCCTTCGACCTCATGGCTTGGTTTTTGCTCTGACATGCACTGTCAACTGTGGGACCTTATATAGACAGGTGTGTGCCATTCCAAAACATATCTAATCAATTTAATTTACCACAGGTGGACTCCAATCAAGTTGTAGAAACATCTCAAGGATGATCAATGGAAACACCTGAGCTCAATTTCGAGTCTCATTGCAAAGGGTCTGAATACTTATGTAAATAAGTTATTTTTGTTTTCACTTTGTCATTATGGGGTGTTGTGTGTAGATTGCTGTGAAAAAAATAATATTTAATCCATTTTAGAATAAGGCTGTAAAGTAACAAAATGTGGAAAAGGTCAAAGTGTCTGAATACTTTCCGACGGCACTGTATGCTAAAAAAAAGATTATATTCTACTGAGCCATTTACTTTATGTTCGTATCCGTGTCTTTTATAATTTCTTATTGTTGTTGCATTGTTGAGAAGGAACCTGCAAGTAAGCGTTTCATTAGACGGGGTATACCATGTGTATCCTGTACGTACGACTAATAAAACTTGAAACTTGTTCAGTGGTAAATGTCAATCCGGGACACTCCAATTAGTAAGATGTGTTACATTTCGTATGGTATGTATTAATTTGTGGATGTCTATCATCCATTTCGTATGATATGTTACGAATTACAATTTGTGACCGACCAGCTCAAATCGGTCTTATGTAGCAAAATTTGAAATTGTGTTTTTTACATTGGATAAAAGTAGAGACCGAGCTAGAAAATGGTATATCATACACTATAGTTGAGGAACAATGGGAAAATAATTTTGCTTTGAAAGTTGATAAACTTGTAACCTCACTTTTGAGAAAATGGCCTTTGAATGTTTTGGTACTACTACTGTAGAGCCCTTTTTGTCTACACACATTCAGCATCGTTTACACCCTCTTAAGCTTTAGCCCCACCCAATCTGAGCGTTCTGTCCTAACAACAGCAGTCAAGCACCAAAGCTAACTGGCTAACGTTGGCTAGCTTGCTAGCTACTTCCAGACACAAATGAGAGAACAGCTCACTGACCATTTTACTTGCCCTAGCAGAGCTGGTTAGGCTGTTTTTATGTTATCCAGAGCGTTGGTGATGGCAAGTGTGCTGCTGGCAACGTTTTACGCTTTTTTGCCAAAGTTTGCTGACACCGGCCATATTCAACGGGTGTTGAGTGTTCATAAATTCGTCAGTTATTCTGCGCTCTGGCACACTCAGACGAGAGTGCTTTGAAATCAGAGTAGATAGCCAGAGCGAATTTACCAGCTACGTCTATCAACAGTTTCCGCAGTGGCATCATTAACATTCTATTGAAATGGTTACTTGCATACTGGATTTTTTTGTTAAGACATGTAGCTAGCTAGCTAGCTAGCTAAACAATGAACCATAATCCCAACTCATGATGTTACTACCCTGCATGAATCTGCAGGTAGTTAACCAACCAGGTTCAATGTTACTTGCTTAGTGGAGTCTTTTGTTAAGACATGTAACTAGCTAGCTAAACAATTAACCATAATCCCAACTCATGACGTTACTACCCTGCATGAATCTGCAGGTAGCTAACCAACCAGGTTCAATGTTAGCCAGCTAACATTAGGCTATAACTAGCAAAGCAAATGGCTCTGAGAAACAAATTATATTACTACACAGATCATACACATAACGTTAGCTAGCGAGCCAGCCAGCTAACGTTAGCTAGTTAGCTAACAGTACACTTTAACTTGAAATGAAAACTATTTTCAGACTAAATTAGACATTTGCAATATATGATAATGTTGCTAGGTAGACTATCTTACCTGTATAGATGGACGGACGCTTCTCACTCTCTGTCACGGATGCCATGTTTGCCCTTAATTTGAAGATGTAATCCGTAGACAGGTGTTTTCTCCATCTCCTTAGCTATCATACTCTAATTCCACTGATTTCAAAACTCGGTCCTCCAGAAAGTGGAGAGCAACACTTATGCAGTTCTACTTTGCGATATATTTCAAAAAAAGCCGTGCTAGACAGGATTACCTACACATACTGACCAGCTCAAATAGACAGAAGCGTGCAACATGGCAGACCAATCTGAACTCATCTTTCGGCATGTCCAGTCCACTCATTGTCTCAGCCAATCATGGCTAGTAGGAAGGTTGCTGTCTTTTTCTGTGGCTAAACTAACTAGGCTCGTAATTTAACAATTTCATTCGTATTTACAGATGGCATACAAGTTTTTTATTAAGGCACATGAAAGTTCACATGTTCCAGAAGGCATTTCTGCCAAAAAATGCATTTTGATTTAATAAAAAAGTGTATGTTCAAATGGCTCTCCTGTGAAGTAGTGACGTGCAACATATGCCTAGTTTCCTGAAACAAGTCACATTTGTATGATATGTTACGAATTGCATTTCGTACAATATGTTAAGAATTCCAATTTGTTGTGGCTAACGTTAGCTACATAGCTAGGTGGCTAATGTTAGCTAGACCAGGGGTTATGGGTTAAGGTTAGGTTAGGAGTTAGGGTTAGGGGAAGGGTTAGCTAACATGCTAAGTAGTTGCAAAGTAACTAAAAAGTAGCAAGTACTTGCAAAGGTGCAAGTTAGCTAAAATGCTAAAGTTGTCTGTGATGAGATTAGAGCATGCAACCTTCTGGTTGCTAGACGTTCGTGTTAATACACATTTTATATTTTAGTCATTTAGCAGACGCTCTTATCCAGAGCGACTTACAGTTAGTGAATACATTATTATTTTGATTTTTTTCATACTGGCCCCCCGTGGGAATCAAACCCACAACCCTGGCGTTGCAAACGCCATGCTCTACCAACTGAGCTACATCCCTGCCGGCCATTCCCTCCCCTACCCTGGACACTGAGCCAATTGTGCACCGCCCCATGGGTCTCCCGGTCACGGCCGGCTACGACAGAGCCTGGATTCGAACCAGGATCTCTAGTGCACCGCCACTCGGGAGGTACACCCATGCATCCACCCCAACGAAACACCCTACTTTCGTTTTTGACTTAAGTAACCTTCGGTCTTATGTAACCATACCAAACGTAACATATCATACTAATTTGAGTGTCCCGGATTGACTATGTTACGTCTAATGAAACTAGGCTGCATTTATTGGCCTGTCTGCCACAGCTATTTGAAAGGGTAGCACAGTAAAACAGCACTTTTTTCTAGGAAACACTGGTGTTAGGTTCTGGATTAAAAAGGCTAATTTAATGTATATGGTTTATAATTAATTTAAAGTGATCTTTCCAGCAAGGAGGAAAGGGTATTAATGTAATAAAATGGTAAAGATAAACCCTGTCTGGAAGCAGTGTAATTGGCCATGATGGATAACTCGAAGCTCAGAAACTTAATTTTGGGGAAATCATTTAAAACCTGGAGCACTGAAGACTTTAAGTATTTATGAGCAAGTGAAGGAGTATCAGTGGTAAAACGCTGTGAGTGAGAGAGGGAAATTACCTCAGTCTCAGCAGGTCATAGCCCATACATAGAATAGGCAATACTTCAAGGAGATCTACACGCACACACACACACTAGCAACAGTCATAGAAATTGTTAAAATGTTTTCCAAAACAATTGGTGGGAATTCAGTAAATGTCATTTTTTTTTAAAAAAAATGCACTCATATATACATTTTCTTATTGTAGCATGTATTTTTGT